ATGCACACAAGTATGGGGGCGGGGCAAAGGGAGAGGGAGAAACAGACTCCCCACTAAGCAGGGAGCTCAGCTCGTTCTCCATGGGGCTCAATCCCAAATCCCAACCCAAGCTAAAGGCAGACTCTTAACCGACTGGGCCACCCAGGTGCCCTCCCTACAAAACTCTTCACTGGAAAGACTGGAGATTGGGAGATCGCTACCCTCTGAAAATTTAGTTTGTGAACTGTCCCCACCTCTGTGTCATCTGCACTGTAACATTCATCCCATTCACTTGCTTGGTCTCCTGTTTATGAGCAACTTGCTGGAGGATGGGCTAATGATATGGCCTGGGCTTTGAAATCAGACGGATGTGACTCTTGGGTTCACCAGATCTACACTGAGCTCAGAAAGTTTGTGTTCAAAGATGTGGACAGCCCTGTGCTTCAAGACCATCTATGAATGTCTGCCCTTTCCTTTAACAACCAGTCCTCCCTTCCATGCTGGAGACCATGCATGGACCAAACAGGACATGATCTACACCCCTACAGGACTCATGTACTAGACAAGGGGTGTGGAGAGGCAACTGCAGGGAGGAGAGAAGCCCTCGGCCAACTTGGGGGGAAGGGAAGGCTTCACAGAGGAAGTGATGTTCCAACTGCACTTTGACAGCAAAATCTGGAGATGCAGCTTCTAGACAGGTGAAACTCCCAGGCTGGTGAAGGGGAGAAGAGCCCTCCAGGTGAAGGGAAGAACACAGAGCTCAGATGTGGGACAAGAGGCTCTGTGCTGCATGGGGATTTGAGCACAGACTGGATTCTGACCCTGACTGCCAGAGTTCCCCCACGAGTTCCCCCACTGTAACAGGGGGATTAAACACAGTTTCCTGGGGTTGTCCTGAGGCTTAGGGAATCAGTACATGTGAAGGGCTGAGGAGACTATCTGGCACACAGGTACTTGTAGGCAAAGCTCAAAAAGTTGCACTTTTTACTTGTATTATTGTTCCTATATACAGGAGACAGGGATCTTTAATTTGAAAACTACTCTCTCAAAATACCAGGCTATTCACAGAGAACTTAAGAAATATTCCAATTCAAAAAAAAAAAAAAAAAAAAAAACAGAAACAAAAACAAAAAACAAGTATTTCAATTCTCCTCTGCCATATCTCCCAAAAGCACCTGACCTTGGTGCCATCCCAGTTTATAAATCCTACCTGAAGCACTGCCTTTCAAATAGCCCCAACAAAAGTACCCCTGACTAAAGTCAGGGTGGGGGAATGCAAAACATAAAGCAGCCTGCCACAACCAAAATATTGTCTTTGAGTTTCTTGTCTTAGCTTAGATTCTGCAAACTTTGCATTCTAATCTGTAATAGATCCAGAACCATTTTAATACAAAAATGTTTAAAATGAAGACGGAAGTGCCTAGGAGACACAAAGGCCTCTCTTAGTCTGTGGCTCTGAGTATCCACCACACATGACCCCAGCAGGGTCCGAGAACCCCAGTGGGAGAAGCAGTCAAGGTCTTAGCATTCTCTTCTGTAAAATGGGAATACAACCCACAGCAACTCTGATCGATATCTATGAGCTGAGACAACATGTGAAATCATCAAGCAAAGCGCACCAAGTGTCACAGCAACACCTGGTACAAATGCTGAATCAGAATCCTAGGGATGAATTATAAAGTACCTTCACAACCCCACCAATCCACAAAATAACTATTTGTGTCAATCTAGCCCATGCTAGGGCCTGGACTAGCTCCTTTACCCTGTTTCCAATTCTGCAAAATACTTTGTATCCCCATTTTACTGGAAGAAACAGGCTCAACAAGGTCAAGTAACAAATCCAAGGCCCTGCAACTGCTAAGTGGGAGAGTCCAGATGACAACTGGGCTCTGGCTGACTCTAAACCATACCACCTGTTTACTGGGCAAGGTTAGAGGAAGAAGGCTCTCTCTAAAAAGTACCTGTGTTGTGGGGTTTAATTTAAATGTATGACCTCGCTGTTTCCATGTAAATTCTAGTGAAAGGAGCTCCTGGTGGAGAGCCAGTCTTCCCACCTGCAAGCAGCAGGCAGCCCCAAGGGGGAATGAAGGGGGTGAAGTAGAAGCCGCCTCTGCTGGCTCCCATTACCCATAACCCTGCCCAGAGAGACCCCTGAGTCCACTCACTTTTACTTTCATTTTCTACCCATCATGGCTTTCAGGTTCCCAGAAATTAATGGTACAGATGTCAGCAAACTGTCAGGCCCTGAAGAGTACTGAGCTGGGACTCCTAACTGCCATGGTCCCCAGAGGAGGAGATGGGGATCCAGGATGATGGGAGGACAGAGTGGGGGTGGGGAAGTAAATGGAAGCAGAGGGGCATCAACCATGAGGGATGCTTAAGGGTCTCTGCACTGGGGCCTCGGCTTGCTCACTTTGCATGCTCATTCCTTAAACAGACCCAAGAAGAGACCACTCTTAGGGAAGATGAGGCACATCAAATCCCAAATCCCAAACCTCAACTCCACCACTTTCTAACTGGATGATCTAAGGCTAGCTACTTAAATTCCTTCCTACTTAAATTCCTTCATCTCTAAAATGGAGATACAAATCCCACTATCTCCCAGGACTCTTGTGAGGAACAGGTGTGAAAATATAATATTGTTTCCTGTGAGAAACATGTGTGAAAAAACTGCAACTTTGGCTGCACAGGTGGGTCAGTCAGGTTCAGTCTCTGCCTTGGCTCAGGTCGTGATCCCGGGGTCCTGGCATAGAGTCCCACACCAGGCTCTCTGCTCTGAGGGGAGCCTGCCTCTCCCTGTCTATGCCTCCCCCCCCACCCCCACCTCTCATGAATAAATACAATCTTTAAAAGAAAAAAACTGCAACTTTAAAGTGATTTCTAAAAATCAGTTGTTACCACCTCTCTGTTGTATGAAGGCAGGAAAAGGCCAACTAGTTGGAAGAAGCAAGAGAGGAGAGGCTTCTGTCTCACACAGAGCCCTCCCTCTTTCTGCCAAGCAACATCAGAGCTCTGCTTGGACTCTACAATCTCTGGATGCCAGAAGTGGCTGCCTAACTACCTAACTACCCGGGGCACTGATGCCTTCCACAACTCTCTGAAAACAAGAGCTTCTCCTTCAAAAAACCTGTTTTAGAATCCTAGCTGGGAGAGCATGTCCAGACAAAGACAGTCCCCTCAGAAGGCTGGCAGCCTCGTCCTGGGACTCCCAAAGAGTTCCAGAAACCACAGCCCACTACCGAGGAGGTAAGTCTGGTCAGAGACCAGTGGCCATTGAGCAGACAGGCCTCTCTGGCTCTGTCCCTCAGAGGCACAGGCTGACCAGATTAGAGAAACGAAGCTGGCCGCAGAAGTCTCCAACGACTTTCCAAAGAAGACCACACAGATAGAGAGCTTGTGATCCAACCACTGATCCTAATAAGGTAGGCTTTCTTGTTGTCCAATAAAAAATGAAATGAGTACAACCCAGGTCTAGCTCAAAAGTTTGTAGGAGTTGGACACTGGTGACTGTCCACAAGAAGTCAAAAAGATCCCAAGACAAAAATGTTTAGCACCTGTAAGGGCAGTAAAGATGGCCCGAAACACTGAAGAGCTACTGAAATTCCCAAAGGCTGCATGGCCTCTCCTCCCTCCCTTGGCTGTAGATAGCAAGGGTCAGTCATGGCCTCAAAGAGTCAGGCTACTCTCATTAAGGTATAGTCTCTGGCCTGTACTTTGGCCACATAACAAAACCTGCGAACCTGGTCTGAGACAACAGCCATTTCACACACCTAAGTCCCAAGCAACAGACAAGGATCAGATGTCAGCACAGGCTGCCTCTTGGAAAGGCTGGAGGGGGGGCGGGGGGTGCGGGCGGGGCGGATGTCAGCACTTTCCAGCATACATGAGAATTCCTTGGGCTACAAAAATCAACACATTAAGAACCCAGAGGTGCCACTGTGGTCTCAATTCACTTCTCTGTAATCTATAATCTGTCCAAGCCTCCTGGAAGGGACTGGAGAGAGGCCCTGGGACTAGAAGTGGCAGAGACCTGTTGATCAAGGAGAGGGGTATGTGTGTCTGAGAGCGGGAATGAGATAGGCCAGGACCCTTCACTTCCAGTCCTTATTTCTGGTCTTTCCCCTATTCCCTAAAGACCAGCAGACAGCAGTCCCAGGAGGAGCAGTCCCTCTGAAGCAGCTTGGAAACCACTCACGTGCTCTGGGAGGACAGGGCTGAGCCTGGAGCAAGGGGGAGGGGGAGAGGAGGGGAGAGAGAAGATAATGAATGGGCAGATCCACCATGATCTGTGATCTGTAGCTAGGATTAAGCAAACCTCAGCTAAATTTTTCAGAGGCAGGAAGAGAGATACACTCAGAGAGCACAACTAGAGAACAACATAACCAGAGGACAGAGTTGGGGTGGAGAGGGCAAGATAAGGAGACAACAGCTCATTCCTAAAAAGTGGCCTAGACTTTAAATCCTGCTGGGACCCCGGCTGGCTCCCTGGGCTTGAGGAAAGAGAGGAAGTGAGGAGTTGTGGGAGTCTGTGTGTGTGGAAGGCTCTCACCCAGGACCCCTCCGCCCCCACCCCGCCCCAGGAAATCGAGATAAAATTTCTCTAGGGGTGGAGGAGACAACTGTTTTTGTGGGACGGGGGGGGGGGGGTGCGAGGAAAACGGCGACAGACAGCACTCCTCGCCGCCTCTATAGAGAAGGAAGACCGACTCCTTCACACCTAGCAAAGATTCCTCCAGTTCTGGGAGCAGAGAGAGCAGAATCTGTGGTCTCTGCCTCCCACAACTGGACTGGACAGGCCAGAGGAGAACCCTGGCGGCTTCCCAAGGCTCATAAAGGGCAGGTAAGGGAAGGAAAGGAGGGCCCCCCCCCTTTGGCCCGACGCCTGGGGAGCCCCTGAAGAGGGGGCTACGGGTCGGGGGAGGGGTCAGTATCCCCCTAAGCCGGGGTTGGGCGGGAGGAAGTGCTGCCCCGAACGGCCTCAACGCGAGCGAGACACTAGGCCCCGGTACAGGCACACTCACGGCGTCTCCGGGGCGGCGGCGTTACTTGGGGCCGGGGCTCGGCCAGGCTCCGCTCCTCTCCCCCCGGCGGTGTCCCAGGCTCCGGCCTCCACTTCCGCCTTTCAGCCGCTCCGGATCCGGATCTCCACCTCAGACCCGCCCCTCAATACTCCCAGATGACTGACAAGGTGGAGAGACCAATGGGAGGCACTCTTGGCCGACTCACCGGCGACGCCTTTCGGGGGCAAGGGCGAGGCGGGAGAGCGCGCGCGAGGGACGGCGGGACTTGTAGTTCTCAGCGCTGGGAGGAGCCGGTGGCCGCCTGGGACTTAGGCTTAGGGTGGAGCCGGCGGCCGGCGAGGCGGAGCTCGGCCGGGAACTTCTTAAAGCCAGGGCTGCCAACCGCGTCACCCTGGGTTCCAGGAGCCCCGAGGGGAGGCGGGTGGTGGGGCGCTGGAAGAGGGCATAAGGCTGTGTGTGCAGAATTGGTTAAGGAAAAACATGGTGTGAATGAATGCACAGGAGGCCGCAGTCCTGAGCACTGGCTAAACGCGAGAAGCCCCTGTCTGCACTTTCTCAGGCCAAGTCAGCTCCGGGACTATTGGGGACATTCTAAGATGGGGAAGGTGATGGAAGTGCTAATAGGAAGGGTTCTGGAGGTGTGGAGAGCTCCTGCCACTTGTCAGCCATAAACCAGGACCCTCCTCCTTTGGCTGGACACCAAGACTCCAGGATCACCTCTACCTCTGCCTCCCACACCTCCAGCCAGAATCAGCTCATGTCTCTGATGCCAGAAACAGAGCCGGACCACTTCTGCTTTGACTTTCTCTCCATCCATAAACACAGATTAGAACCACTTCTGTTTGCCTCCCCCACCGCGACCTCTGACCTCCATATGGATCAGGACTATTTCTTTCTTTTTTCTTTTTTTTCTTTCCTCAATGTGGATTAGGACCATTTCTTGCCTCCGCCCACCCCCATCCCCCAACACAGACCGGTATCTCCTCTGCCTTTGTGTCCTGGAACAGTACTCAAAACCTGTATGCAATCAAAGCTCAGGCCGGAGAGAGCTGTAGGCGTTGCTCCTGTGACATGGGTGAACACCAATCATATTTGGGAGCCTGAGCTGGAGAATCAACCTGTTTGGGACAGCCTGCCATAAAACTGCCCACACCTAGTTCCATCTGGTCACCAGGGTGCTTCTTTCTAACAATATCCATAACTCCCATCTCCCTACCCCTGCACCCCTTCAGTGATCATCTGAGAAATGAAAGCTAAGAGGGAAGAGAGGCTTGGGAGAGCAAAGGAGACAGGGCAGAGTAGAATTCCTAGCAGGTTCTTGGCTAGTGACAAGCTTTTTCCCCAACCCCTGCTGTACCTAGCCTGCAACAGGTACAGATCAGTTATACAGCATCAGTGGGGAGTCCCATGGGGTACCTTTCCAGGGCTGGACGTGGGCCTGAGCCAGGACTCTGCCCCTCTCACGTACTGTATCTGAATCTGTGGCTGTGATGCATGGGAGGAGGAGGGGGTACAACAGGCCCACAGTGACTCATTAATGTTTCTACCTCATCCCTGGAGCCTCTGGTGGCGTGAATGCGGTGCCAAGTGGATTGCTTGGCGCCTTTGCCCTTCTTCCTAGAGACAGCAACAGGGCCCTGGGGTGTGGTGGGGAGTGACTGCCCTGTAGACTCCTCCAAAGCCCTGGGGCTCTCAGATCAACCCCCAGAAACATCCAGAGCCAACAACTACAAAAATAAAGCGTTTATTTCCTATCCAAAAGTGAGCCCTGGGTGTTGGGTAGTAAAGGAGAGTTGGAGACCAAGGTGGGTTTATGAGAAGTCAGGGCCCTGAGTGAGACCATGTTGGATGTGGGAAGAACAGGCTTGGCTGAGGTCTGGTGCAGGGGGAGGGATAGAGAGTGCTGTGGGGACTGTTTCATGTTGCTGGCCGCAGAAGAGACCATCTTCAATGACAGCCTGCAGAAAGACAGAAACAGAGATGTTGACAGGCCCAGGCCCAGGGGTAGAAATAGACATTGCTGGAGAAAAAGCACCCGCTGGAGCAGAGAAACCTAGGAGGACACTCTAAGGCAGGAATCACAAACCCAAATACCTATAGAGACCAGACAAAAAATTCAAATGAGGAAAGCTAGCTAGGTGTCAGGAGATGATCTCAAGAGGCCACCTCTCAAGAGGACAGTAGCCACTCAATACCAGTTGATTATTGCCACATGGAATATGGCCCAGGATTGCTAGAGCTCCTCAAATTTTTTTAGAGAAGCTGGAATATCTGGATATTTATGTGAACTCTCTTGATTTTTAGTGCTGGCAACCATTCATATTTTGAAAGAAAAAAAAAAGAAAAGAAAAGAAAAAGAAAAAGCTGTGAGAACTGAAGAATACATATCTAGGGGTTTCCTGTGTAGGCTGAGGAATGAAGTGAACCTTTCCAGCCTGGGCTGGTGGTGGGAGGTCTAAGGAGTCTTGGATTGCTCAGATGCCAGCCATCTCAAACCTATCCCTCTCAAGGTGACATTGCTTCCATGGCCTTCAGCAAGGGCTCAGGGCAGCTAGGACAGAAGGCCTCACAATACCATGAAGCTATCTCTTGCAGTGGGATCTACAATCTGTCCCTCTTGCCTTAGACACCAAGATCCTCCCTGCTCTTGTGGGGACTTCCTGTGCGGGATCTGGGACCCTCCCCCAGCCCCCAACGCTCCCCCATATCTACCTGCCTCCAGGTCCTGGGGAGAAAGCAGGACATGTCATCTGCCGGGCCTAATCCGCACTGCATTCTGTTTTATGCCTGTTGGGTTCCACAGCCTCAGGTGGCTCCCCTCACAGAGGGGAAGGACAGGGGAGGGTTTAGAGAAGGGAACGGGGTCAGAAGTGACCAGGCTTTGTAAAAAAAAGTCCAGAGAATGCCGAGCCAACCAGACCAGCTGGTGGCCGCTGACCCGAGGCAGGAGGCCAAGGGGCCCAGCCCCTTCCTGGAGGGCAGACAGCAGTGCCCACCCCAGACAGGCCTGGGCCCAGGGCCAGGGTCAGTGGAACGTGTCTGGCCTGGACCGAAAGCTCTGCCGCATGAGGCGTGGGGTCGGAGGTGAGGCCTCTGGCACTGGGGAGGGTCCCTGAGACTCAGGCTCTGAGGGGTAGGGGGACAGCATGGAGGGTCTCAGGTTGGAGGGGGTGGCCCCCATCTCTGCTGTCCCCACACTGGCCGGGCAGTGGACCTCAGCGAGAGTAGTATCCTGGAGGCTAGGCAGTGGTCCAGATAGACAGGGAGAGATGCACGGAGCCCTTGGCTGGGGACCAGGAGGGTCTGGGGGCCGAGCCGAGGCTCCTGGGTGGCCTGGGGGACCCAGCCTGGCCTGTAGCAGGCCCATGATATGTCGAAGCTCCCGGCTCAGTTGAGACACTTCCTGGTTGAGACGGGAGATCTGTTGAAAACATAACAAATTTTTCCCCAGGTGCCACAACCACACCACTCTCCTAAGTGCAACTTACCGCCCCCCTCCCTCCCGGCTACCACACGCCCTCCTTCAGTTTACAAAACTCCTTCCCAGCCACTGCTGTTCACGGCCACCTTGAGAAAAAGGCAGGGCAGGGGTTATCTTTGTCAAGATGTAAACATTCAACCTCTCTATGAAAAGGATTTGGGACAGCAGCTATTGCAAACCACCTCCTCCACCCCGACTTTTATAAGAGGCAGAAAAATGGGCTTGAAGAGGCCACAAAGCTCAAGGTAACAGACACAGCGTTAGTCTCAGGTGATCCCAGGACACAAGCTCAAGTGTGTCTATTCAGTGTTTTGCAAATTTCAGGGAGAACAGAATCAACTGTAAAACTTGTCGAGATGCAGATTCCTGGGCCCCACCCCAGACATTCCAAACTGGGTACGGCTTAAGAGTCTGCATCTTAATGGACACCCAAGTGTGGGAACCACCAGCCTAGGACTGTGACTGAAGCAGGACTAGCCCTTCATCTGGCTCAACCCGGGTCAGGACCCGCCCCCAGCCCCAGGGGCGCCCAGCCCAGGGGCTGCCCTCCAGGGATGCAGCCGATGTTTATCAGAACCCAGGGAAGGCCCACTCCCAAAGGGTTGGGGCTGGCTGTGTCCTGGTGATGGCTCAGACATCCCTGGGGAGGAAGCAAACACAGCGCCTTGCCATACAAGATCTGGGCTCTTCCTGACCAGGGTTCAAACATTAGGATCCAGCTCTCCCAGGGCTGAAAGCCTCTCTGCCTCCCTGTCTTCTGCCTCCTACATTTGCTGAGCAGCTGCTTCCCAGGGCTGGAGCGAGTAAAAGGACTTGGTAGGTCAGGTCCCTAAAGGAGAGAACCCCAAGGTGGTGGAGGGAAGAGAGGCTCTCTTTACAGGCAGGACGACCTGAAGCAGCTGGGAAGGAGTGGAAGCACTCAGTGGAAGCACTGAGTACTTACAGTATGCCACGGACTGGGCAGGGCGGGCATGCAGGTGCTCTTATCTTCAATAACTCTGGCAAAAACCTATTTTCCCTATTTTTAGATGAAGAAATGGACATTCAGGGTCTTTGTGGAACTTGCCCAAGGTCACCCAGCTAGTGTGAACTCAGGACTCTGGCTCTGAACCCTGAAAGGCTCTTCTATGAGGCATATCTCTTCTAAGAGGCACATCTCCCAAGATAGTATTTTCCAAGGTGGGAGGGGAGGAGCCAGCACCAACCTACCTCCTGGTTCAGCCTGCAGACCTTCTCCTTCATCTCCTCAGCCTCAGTGGCCAGTTCCTGGCTGGACCTGGTCCCTGCAGACAGAATAGAGGGGAAGGGAGGTAGGGTGAGTGCGGGGAAGCAGGAGTCTACAGCCTGGGCTGGGTCCCCTCCTATTGCTGGGCAGGCAGAGAACAAGGGGAGAGGGAGCTCAGGGCTCAGGACCATGGGAAACCCAGACTCCTCAGGCTGGCTAACCTCCCAGGCCCCCCCTCCCCCACACAAGCTCTTTACAGAGAAGCTTCTCTTCAGCACCTAAACACAATATGCTCTTCTCTCCTGCCTTCATGCCTTCCAACAACTGCCTTGTGCCACCCCTCAAACTCCCACCTAAACTTTAAGTCCCACCAGAAGTGTCCCCTCCTCTAAGAAGGAGAGTTATGGGTGCCCTCTTCTAC